AAGGGCGGCCCTGCGACATGACATCATGGCCGTCGAACTGAAAAAGGGTGTCTGGTTTCCTTGTGCAGGTGAGTTTTCCCAGGCTTTTCATCTGGGTTCTTTCGCTTTTATCAGCCGGAAGGCCTAGAAGTTTCTCTATTTTTTGTATTTATAAAGCGATGAATTGCGCAAAATTTTCAGTTTTACGTTTCTTTGGCCAAGCGACGTAAGTTTTTTTGGAAAGGAGCATGATGATTGAGCCTAAAACACTCTAGCAAGCGCAGTATTGCAGGTTTAAGAGTTATAAACTTGTCGGATATTTTGTGAAAAATATCCAATCGCAATTTTGTCCGTATTGGTCACCAGATTTAATCCACATGGACTTCGGTTTATTGCAGAAATACTTCTCTCCAATCAATCTCAGTTCAGCCATGAATGAATCAAAAATATAAATCGAGGGCTACTTTGAGTAGGACCAGAATGAATTTCTGTCAATAAAACATGAAAACCTTGATTTAGCGTCTTCTTCATACTTTTAAGTAAAAAGGGAGCCAAATTTACAAGAAGCAAAAACTATTGAGTTTCTTCTGAGGTACTCAATTGATCACACAGAGTAATGATAATAAATGTTTATTGAACTTGACAATAACAAAAGACAAAGAAAAAAAAACCGTTTGAATATCGTGACGACCAAGTAAACGCAGTTACTTTCCCGGATTTATTACTAACTACTACAACGTCGCAGCGGTCAGTGCATCCCTAAACATATGATGCTACCTGAGGACCCAAACACATGCAACACATTTTAGAAAGCTAACTTATGCTAGGACATTAAAAATAACATATTTTTATTCAACAAAAACATTCGAGTATAAAAACCAAAATTCTACTTGACCTTTTTAGCGGTTCAACATGAGCGAGCCCCCAGATCGAGCCACCCAGCCCTTCACTATCCAGTAGGTTTAACGCCGCGGTTTCGGTCGCTGCAGCCATCATCAATGTTTCCCACATTGCCGCTGCATTTTCCTGCTACTCACCTGCTCGACCAATCTCTGGCACCCCCTCTGATCAACGCGCAAAGCAATTATATGCATCAGAGCCTGATTTACCCCACCATGTTGAGCAGCCAGTTTGTGAAACCGAATGGATTGTATCCAGTATTAGGTGAGTTGGAATTTTTCATTAGAAAAAGGATTTTTGAGAAAATTTGAGGTCGTCTTTTTAGACGAGAGTAACAAGGTCGTTTGCCTACTGCTTGCGTAAGAAAGAGAAAAACCGATTACTGTAGTAGGCAGGATCCGACTAGACCCGATAAAACCCGATTTGCCCGCCCGTGATTCAAATTTAACCCGTCGCGTTTCATTGGCCAAAACTCAGATCTTAATGGGCAAGCCACACCTCCTACCTTTTTATACTTCCAGGGGCGTTTCTCTCCTTCCAATGCACGCATTTACTGCTTTGCCTTGTTCCACTCATCTGAAAATCTCTTCATTACTGGCATAAGGAACTAATTTAATTGGAACTCTTTCAATAGGCGCATGCCTGCCCTTTTCAGACAAACCAACATCACACATCAAGCAGGATTTGGCGCTTAGAGATGGACGAAAGGAGGATGAAGTGAGCAGTTCCGAAGAAATCAGCCAGGAGAAAAGAGATGGGACTTCAGATGGGCCAATGAGCGTCAACGCCCGATTGGAACTGCCCATTTTAAGCAATGTGGAACCCAAACATGCCGGTTTGGTTCCAGTAGATTTACCATGCATGTCAGTTTTTGCGGAAAACACCTACGAATCCGCTGCAAAGCTGCTGTTTTTGGCCATAAAGTGGGCTCGAACTATACCCTCGTTTCTCCAGGTGAATGAGAGTGTTTTCAATGTAGCAATTTTGCAACCGATTTCTTGCAGTTATCTCAAAGAGACCAGTCGATTCTGCTTGAGGAAAGCTGGAGCGAGCTCTTTGTGCTCACAGCCTCCCAATGGGCTCTTCCAGTGGATGAAGGTGCTTCGAAGCCCAGACTTCCAATTTTTTATATTAACTTTTGATTTTCTAGTTATTTTAGTGAACAATGCGGTGGCTCCCACATCAAGGCACCCAGTTCTGGAAGAAGACGCCCGAAAGCTCAGAGAGGTGATTTCCAGACTGAACATGCTCAGAGTGGATCACACAGAACACGCCTGCTTAAAAGCTCTGGTATTATTCAAAGCTGGTAGGATTTTCAGCAAATTTTGGGAGCAATCTTTTCTTTTAAAACGACTTTTTATTTTAGAAAGCCGAGGCCTTTGTGAGCCAGCCCATGTGGAGCTTTTGCAAGATCAAACGCATGTGATGCTGCACGAATATTGCGCGGAAAGACAGAGCCATCAGAAGGCCAGATTTGGGAAGCTGCTTCTCGCCCTGCCGGCCGTCCAGAACATTTCCAGAAGAAGCCTAGAGGAGCTGCTGTTTAAGCAGACTGTTGGGGAGGTTGCAATCGATAAACTGCTAGGGGACTTGGCTAAAGCATCCTACACATAATTGAAATTATGTGGACATTTTTTGTTGTGAATATAAACAGTGGTACAAATGTGAACGTGTTATTTATTTGATTTGCAAAATAGAGTTTTGCTTTTGGAGAAGCTGATTGATTTGGGGTTTTAAACTTTCAAGCCAATGGAAATTTGCTTTTGCACTATTTGCTTTTATGGAGTTTCATAAAGCTTTCAAACTGCTCTAGATTTGGAACTGGCTAAATTGTGATTCTTGTGAGCGCTTTGAACTCTGTTTGAAGCGTTCTCTAGCAGGATTCTTGTTCTGCCCGTCTGTGCTTTTTCAAAATTTATGTGCTTCATATAAAGTTCCTGTGCTCCAGTGTGGAAAAGGAAACAATGCAAAATTTCTCAAAGTTTGGATCATCGACAAAAAATGCTCCAATTTGATAACAAAATTGGATTTCAATTTCAAATATATACAGATTAACTTAATATCTGGAAATGTTTTCCCAATTGTTTGCCTCAACCTTTTTTACGTACAGAGTGGCCCAAAAAATGCTTTTTAGGCTTTTGGGCAGTTGGTGTTGAAGGCCAAAAATAATTTTCGCGTTTTCGGCTGGACTGATTTTTAACAACTCATGTTGAAGCGAGAACTTCATCGTCTGCTTAATACAAAAATTAAATAGACAGGGTTGATTGATTGAAGAGATTAACAGTTGATTTTGAAAACCGGTCAAAAAATCGGCCCAAAAGTGGATTTTTTGAGACCACCCTGTAAATAAAAGCGATAGGCAAAAAATCCGAAAAGTTTCAAAGCATGACATCTCTTTGAATTTGAAATACCTACATAAAAAACGTTTTTTCTGTAAAACTGCGAGATCAATCGGGCTAAACTATGAGAAAATTTGCATTGTTTCATTTCCCATTCTGTAGGGGTCTTCCTCTAAGGCATAAAATGTTGGAAGAAACTCCTAAAAGCTAACAGAAAACGAATTGGACCAAATAGGGCTTCAAACAGAAGTCAAATCGCTTGCAGCAATCAGAACCTACGAAGTTCCAAAATCAGAGCAAATTGAGTCGCGTAGCGTTTATTTTGCATCTTCCAGTCCAAAAAATCACTAGTTTGGATCGTTCACCTGATTGCAAAATCTAGTTTGTTTATTGCATTTATTTTGTTAGGCGTTTTACATAGAAGTCTAAAAATCTAAAAATTATAAGCTTTAGCATTTGCAGAAAAATCAGCACTTTATTAACTTAAAACTCGAAAATCCTAAAAATCAATTTGTCTTATTAGCGTAATAAGTAGGTAAGTGCCTTCTGCAGATTATCAACAGGAAAACATTCCTAGTCGCGCATTAAATCTTGTTTAAACATGCACATTGTAGTCAATTACTCATTACACATTTCCTTGTTGTCACATGTAATTGCCAGATTTGCATATAAAACTCCGTAATTAGAACTGTGTGTTAACAAGCAGGTATGGACGGGTAATTAATTCCTGCTAAAAAAATATAAGAACGAAATCAGGCAACTGATCAACCAGTTCCTTCTCAAGATGTTCAAAAGTGTGAGCTTTCTTCTGCTGATTCTTGCGCTTGGTAGTCTGGATGCTAAGGTAGGGGATAAATTTAAGAAATATTTATATGCAGAGTGTTTCTCTTCAAGTATAGTTTCATATATTGTTGGAAAAATGACCCTGTTGTCCCACTCCACTAATTAGACTCAGATCAACCCACTTCCGACTGCAAAAAATCGGTTATTAATGTGTCTTTTTTTGATGAGTAAATTCCCGTGTTTTTCATATTTGCTTGTTATAAAACCGCAAAACCGACCTATGCCAAGCACATTTTACAAGATGCATTGTTTACGGGTTTGTCTGATCGTGTTTTTCTCAATTTGTGGGTTTTCCAGCAGCCTTAAGGTAGTTAAATTTTCTTTTAAATGTATGTAAAGTGTTTCGTTTGCTTTGTAGATAACTTTGCCTCCAGAGCTTCAAGAATATGTGGACGATTTACATAAGCTGTGCCTGGAAAAGGGTGGACTGACCGAAAGTGAGTAATTTTTGTGCTAATTTACGCACAAATTGTAGTTAACATTTCGACTTTCATCAGCACGTTGCAAGCAGAAATTCGAACAAAACAAATTTTTGATTGCCTTGTTTTGTTCACTCGCCACTGATTGCTTCCTCAAAAGCCCACAGTTTTTCCTAAAACTCACTTTCCTGAAAATTAAAATCGGCTAAAAAAGTTATCGCGCCTTAAAGCAGTAAAAATGCTTTTTTGAGCCTAAAAAAGTTAAGTTTTCGTTGAGTAGTACATATGTGTCTTAGCCTAGCTTATTCTAAAATTAAGTCCTATTCCTAACACTGGTATAATTCAATCAGTGA